GTTTAGGAGATAAAAATTTGATAAAAATCAAAAATAATATTTAGGAGACAATAATCTGATAAAAAAACAAAATTAATATTTAGGAGATAAAAAACTAATAAAAACATGATAAAACTCGAAAAAAATATTTAAAATATTATTTAGGAGATATAACTTTGATAAAATTCAAAAATAATATTTAGGAGATAAAAATCTGCTAAAAGTTGAAAATTATATTTAAAATTATAGTTAGGAGATATAAAATTGATAAAATTAAAAAAAATATTATTTATAATAATATTTATGAGATAAAAATAAAAAATAATATTTAGGAGACAAAAATCTGATAAAAATAAAAAATAATATTTAGGGGATACAAATATGATAAAATTCGAAAATAATATTTAAAATAATATTAAGGAGATAAAATTTGATAAAAAATGAAAAAGAAAATTACAAATATGACATTAGGGTTTCTAAGGGTTGCCCTAGCGTTTCTTTCTTTTATATATAAGATATATATATATATATATATATATATATATATATATATATATATATATATATATATATATATGAAGATTTTTCTGGATTCTTTGCCAAATTCATTCCCACAATTAAGGAAAACTTTAGAGTGAAGGAACACATAACATAACTACAGAAAAAACATCAGCTGAACGAGAGAGCGTACGAACATGTTCATGATTATGTGCTTGTAAGAACATGATACATCATAAATGAGTAGAGTCACATGAATGAACCGGCCATACTGTGGAAGTACATGTATTAACTTACGATCTAGAAAATGCGTTTAGATCGATTTTCATATAAAAGAAAAAAGAAGTTCTGAAAACCGAAAAATATTTTCTTTTCGAGAAAACTTTAACAATAAATTGAGTAGAATTAATAACATTTAACAATAAATTGAGTATAAAGACTAAAGAGTTACCCATAGATAATGCTTTCTTGATTTTAGTGTGTGTATATATATAATTAGTTAGGAGATGTGTATATTTTAGTGTGGTTATGTTAGTTTGTTTATGGTTCAAATTGTCATACCTAAAAGAGTTACCCATAGATAATGCTTTCTTGATTTTAGTGTGTGTATGAGTTACCTATAGATAATGCTTTCTTGATTTTAGTGTGTGTATGAGTTACCCATAGATAATGCTTTGTTGATTTTAGTGTGTGTATGTATGTATGTGTAGAGTTACCCATAGATAATGCTTTCTTGATTGTAGTGTGTGTATGAGTTACCCATAGACAATGCTTCTTGATTTTAGTGTGTGCATGCTTTCTTGATTTTAGTATGTGTATGTATGTATGTGTGTGTATATATATAATTATTTATGAGCATTTAATGGTTATTTTAGTTTGTTAATGGTTCAAACTGCCATACAACTTCCCAGCTGCTCTCTCTCTTTTATAATCCCCTTCCCCTAAACATCAACAAAATCCATATAAGTTGACTGAAGAAGAATTGGGTGAGTAATCTCTCTGCATTTCTCTATCTATCTTGCGTGTTTTTATTTTCAGATTCACAATGAAAGACCGCGTCTATGCCATCTTGACGGCTGCTGCGGCCAGTATCTTTTCGGTCGTAGTGAACAGCAAGCTCCGGTCATACGAACAGGAACAAATTGTCGCGGCGGCGAGAGAGGCCGCCGCCGGAGCAGAAAAATCTGCAGAATCCGCCGCAAAGGCCGCGGAAATGGTTTCTCAAGCCATACGAGAAATGGTCAACGCCGTGGCAGTTATTGTCGGTTCTGGTAATACTGGCGGGGAGTCTGGGCCGAAGAAGGAAGAAGAATCAGCTGGCGCATCGAAGAAAGACGCAGCAGCAGGTGAATCCAAGAATGGAGGAGAGATAGAGGAGTAGTATCATTGTATAGATAGAATTAGGAGTAGTATAAAGAAAGTCAAAATCATTCACATCAACTTAGAATATCATATGCTCGTTGTGGGTACCTCAGATATCTTCGGAACAACAAGGCTTCTGACAAGAAAGAAGAAGCAACATGTCACGGATGTTGGATTTTTGATCTTTCGTAATCATCCAACAAAAGATCAAGAATCCAACATCCAAACGGATATTGGTCTTTTGTTGGATGATTACAAATGAGGATCCTACCCCTATTTATACTAGGTCACCTCCTTAATGGACGGTAGAAATCTATTTGATCTAACGGCTAGAAGTTGTTCACTAGAACACTCCAAAATATTCCTACATAATATCTACAAGGATGGTTCTAGAAAGCTTTTTAGAATTCTCCAAG